CGCGTCTGTCGCACGACCGTCACGCGTTTTTTTTACCGCGATTCGCGGTAAAAAAGTCGCGCGACCGTCGCGTGATTCCAAAGGCTACTTGGCTGTATCCCAATGGAAAATGCCCTACAAAACGGCCCAAAGTAGTCCCGGGACCTTTTCAGGCATGGGCCGTTTTGTAGGGCGTTAGGGACGGGCGGAAATACGCCTAGGTGGGAACGAGGGCATTGACTACAATGCTATTTATTTTTTTGACCGTTTTGTAGCGCGTTCGTCGAGCGTAGGACGCGCTACAAAACGGTCAGGTGTGAACGCAGCCTAGGGGCCGAGTTATAAATCTTCCACCCATGTATCTGGGTGAATGCTGTTTTCACTGAGCTACCACCACTAGATGGTGCTGAGGAGCATAGCAATTTCTTATGCTCCTTGGTTCCTTTTAGTGGCAATAGTGATGCGTGTATGGGATTCGCCCAGTTATACACTGGGTGGAAGATTTATACATCAGTCCCTTAATAACTCAATTTGCACTGCTTCACTGAATAGGCCAGTAAATGTGCCATGTCATAATAATATCATAGTAATATCACAGAGTCCGAATAAGTAGCATACCAGAAATGATATATATATATTTAAAGACGTCCCCCCCATTTACTAATGTGTAATGTGTAGACCATTTGTATATTTAAAAATACCATGTTCACTCCAGGCAGGCTGATAAGGGGAAGGGAATGTGTCATTAGAGGATGCAATTTTATAGCTGTATGCCTCCTCCTCCTCTATCCCTTCTGGAACAATCATGCTAAATGCCCTTGTACCCAACTTTATATTAAAAAATATGTGCTCTATGTCCCTGATGTAGAGATAGTAATACTGGGGAATGGAATATACCTTTGCTTAAAGTAACACTGTCAACTGGTGAAAAAAAATGACACAAAGCAGGAACTGCAAAGCAAGGTTTATGTGTCAAGCAATCAATGGCTTCTCCACACCTGACGCAACTTCCGGTATGTCGGATACCTCTGTGCACTGTGGTTCCTTCTGCTGATCCCTGTGTCACTACATGACACAGTAGGGATGTAGAGGCCAATGGAAGGAACCACAAAGTGAGTTGGAGAAAGCAGGCATCCAATATTTGTGGAAGTTTCGAATGTTAAGATTGTTCATGTGGCCATAGCTCTTGGACAGAGAGAAGATAAAAAGAACAGATTAGTATAAACCCTGTGCTCTTGCAGCTCTTGCTTTGTGCATTATTTTAACCCAAATGCAGGTACTTAATCACCAGCACACCATGTATTTTTTTTGTCACATGAAGATACAGTAACGTATCTAAACTATCAGGTAGCCCATAAGGCCGCAACAATGAAAGGGTCCATGGAGGTTCCGAAACATCCATGTAACTTCATGACACAAAAAAATATGCTCAAAAAGAGCAAAATGGGAATGAAAAGTATATTTAAATCTCCATTGTTTCTGTCTCTACATCAGGAATTAGCGAAACACTTCAGAATAAGTAATACTAGAATGCAACTTTGTGAATTTTGTGTGGTATAGCTGTATGTAGGTTAGAAAAATAGACTAACCATCTACAACATGTTATCCTATCATGCCTGGAGGCATCCCTATGAACCCACCTCACCCAGTCTGAGGTATTCTAATACAGTTATGTGGCATTTACCTTCAGGATATAACACTCATGGGCATGACATCGTTTAAATCAAACTGAAGTCATTGCAGATATGGCTCCAGACCAAGTAGAAGAAATCTGTGGTTCCCGAGCTGTTGATCCTTGATAGGACTGTCCATTATTTGGCAAGCCACAGATTTCTTTGATGTTACAGAAGTGTTATTCCCACCCACAGGCAGTTGATAATGGAAATACTCATTAACTGGATATATAAACAATATTTGTGTATGTGTGTCTATGAGGATTGTTTGGTTTCTTATTTTCTATGGGGTGAGGAGGTACCAGTGATGACAATGGTAGAAAGAAAGGCAAACTGAAGGTTCCTGGTCACAAGAGAAGTCCCAGGGTTCTGGATAATCGATTCTGAGTCCACTGAGCTCCAGCAGTCAAAGATGTCAGCAGCTGGCCCACGTTTTATATATCTAGCGTGGTCAGTGCCTCTTCACATTATGGTCACAGTGATCAGTCCTTCAAAGGTCAAAGTTCATCTTTCTGGGTTCCATAATGTCTATGCTCCCACATGGACACACACTGACTTCTCATAGTACAATCAATGTGACCATGGATAGTAAACACATAGAAGGTTATGTTGGCTCCCATCTTTAAAAGTCTTTTAAAGTACTGAAGTAATACTTCTTTGTAGCACCCCAAGATCAGGCTCAAGGGCCACCATGCACAGCAGTCTTCTACTCAGTCTTTCACCTTAGAACTGGAATGATTTCTCAGGAACTTAACAGCACTTCTTAACTCCAGTCATTCAACCTGTGATGTTTAATTATCTAGAAACTCCCTGAGCTGACAGCTCACACCCACAGAGAACTGACACTTATGCCAAAGTTCTGTGAACTGTGAACTTCTCAGATCAGGGGCCTTATAGAAAAATATATGTTTTACAAGATCCAGAAATAGAGAGCAAGACAAGAGAGAGAGCGAAAATCCCATACAGCTTGTAAAATCACGAAAAATGTACATTTGTAATATAAAAGGCATTGATATGAGTCAGTAGGCTAATATAATAGTAATATTAAATGAAGAGAATCACATTGTTCTTACATTATCTGGGGAACATTAGACCTAATGTTGGGTAGAACATAAAAAGACCCATAGATAGTGCAACCACATACAACAAAAGGCATAGACGTTTGCTCATCATACAGAGAGCAGAAAATGAGACCTAAAAAGATAACATATCTGTTATATTTTTATGTCAGAAAGCACTACATTCTCACGCTTTAAGCGTGGCAAGCAAACCTCGTGAACTTATAAAACTAAGAAATCGTTTGCCACAAACGGAATAACAGGATAATATTCCTGAAATGTAAATGCATTTCCTTCTAATCTTTAAAAGGAAAAGCCTGATGGCATTAAAAAGGTCAAACTCTAGACATTGTTCACTTAGCATCAACAGAAGATGGCAAAGGTCATAAAAATATATCAAATGCACTTAGAGGGAATAATACATTAATATCAATAAGCGGAAGAGAGGTGCTGTGTTATACAGTACTGTATATGCGTTTTAGTCATACAAGTGAACCGTCTGGGGGTTGAGGGATTATTTCAACATATAATAACTCCGTGCTCATCACATTTTGATTTCCTACAATAGAGCTGCATTTCAGCACTTTCCTAGGTGCTGATAACTCTGTTTATATATATACATATATATATACATACATATACATATATACATACATATATTTGGTGCATTAGCTGCACTAAAGGATATCATTATTTTTTTTCTTGCTCTTACTTTTATTACCTTATAACTAGGGATGTTCAGATACCAGGTTAGATACCAGTGCCAATACTTGGCATTTTCATGAGAACTAACAGAGTCGCAGCGTTTGCAGCTGGGACCTAGCTCTGGCGCTCCACCACTGCCCTGAAATCATTAATCTGTATTGTTTTAGAACATGGCAATAAACAAAAATGTATCAGTACTTGTATCTATGAGTACTTGGGCAAGTATCAGTACTTGTATTTGAAAAAATTGTATCTGTGCATCCCTTATATTTATTTATAAAAAATAAATCATACATTAAAACAGGGATGCAGAAATCCCAGGAGCTCCGTATGCTGCTTAAAAATAACAGCTGCCTCCTAACTTTTGAATTTTTCTCTAGTCTAGTCTCGGAGCTGGAAAAGTATCTGTACATGTACTTGTACCGAGTATGGTACTTGGTATCGGAACATCCCTACTTATAAGTTAATTACCACACTGTCTAACCATATTAGCAGATTGGGGATATTGATGTTTCACTGCGATTATCAGATAATGAAAGAAACATGTAAAGATGTGTTCTGGATTTCTTTTCTCCTTCTAGATTAAAGGAGAACTATGGGGTCAGTGTTTTTCCCCATAGTTCTCCTTAGGGTAACGGGAGGACACAAACTAGCATCCTCCCGTTACCCTAAGCTCAGTATACCATGAGCTACAGCTCGCGGTATACTGAGACGGATCCCGACGTAGATGACGGGATCCGCCCAGCTGCGTGAGTGACAGCTGGCTCTGCCTATCTAGAGGCAGAGCCAGCTGAACCCGCCCCTCCCCCGTCCGTTGCGCCAGTCAGCGCTGGCAGATCGGAGCGGGGAGAGTGGAATCCAGTCCCTCCCCCTGTCACGGCAGAGAGCCGTGACAGGATCGAGAGGCGAGCGAACCCGGTATGTGTTCGCTCACCTCCCGATCTACTGAGCCGACCTGTGACAGTCTCATTGTCGCAGGTCGGCTAGAACTACGAGGTGAGTGAAAAGCACTCACCTCATAGTTCTCCTTTAAGTAGGGATGTCACGTCTCAAAACACAGTAATCATTGTAATATAGTTAGGTGGGTTAAAAAAAGGGGCTGTTTTTATCACATTTGACTTCATACAGCTTTGAGAACCCAATGAAAACTATAGACTTATAGCGTTTAACTATATTTGTTTTAGTTGACCCAGAAGTGGAAATTTGCTCCCTCTCTCCACCGTCTGGTGCGTCAGTCCAAGGTTTGAAGCCGTAGCTTTGCTCAGCACTTTGAAATGCTTCTCCATGTTAGGTAAAAACTCATTTTTAATAGTATTTAAGTGAATAAATCTGTTCTGGTAAAACTCCATGTTTTCTACTTTAAACAGAAGCTTTTTGATTCTTTTGGGTTACTTTAAATGATTGTTCTTGGACTACAGTATCATGTTATTCCATTCTAAAAAGTGTCTGCTTTAGGGTTTATGTATTCATGAACTTGTTTATAGGTATGTCACCTGCTGATTGGATCCTGATAAATAATACAAGGTCTGAGTTTTGCTTTGTCTGTCCATTCTTCTAGTCCATGGAAATGATTCCTGTCTCTCAGGCCAATATAAAGCAAGGTGGACCGCTGCATATGAAGCCATACTTTCAATTTTTACACTCTCAGGGCAGGTTTAAGTTCTCTTTACAGTATTTTTGTCTTTGAATTGAGACAATGCCAGTTTTGGTTATGTAGATTTTCGCCCAGGCTCTTATGCTCTCATCTCCGCTTCTCATTCAGTCTTGTTTCTTCCCAAAGATGATTTTGCTCTCTCGGCTGTTTCAGTATGTGGTCTCAGCATGTGAAGTCTTCAAATGCACCACGTACTGCGTGATGGGGGAGAATGTTAGCTGTGTAGCTCATGCCTGCTGGGTGCCCTCTCACACCCTCACACGGAGCCTGTAATGAGAACAGTGGATTCATTATAAGTGGCAACAGCTGAGGAATCATGTACAAAACTCCTAGATAAATCGGAAAATCAGCATCACATACACGCAAAAAAATAACCTAATATCTACTCCATAACAACTCTATTAGAAATACAGTTTTGTGTTTCTGAAGCAAACCTCTACTGACAGAAATATCGGCACCTGCTATTACTGATCTCCTTCTGAAAATGCTACTTGCTAGTGTCTGTCTTCAATATTTCTGAGACCTGGACTTGGAACAGGCATGCAGGTCAGGAAAGTCAGAGTGATGATTAAACTCTTGTTTGTAGAATTGGACTATAATATGTTTGGCTAGCTTTAGAACACACTGGCCTGTAATGATATAACAACCCCTACAGCCTTCCTGCTAACTGACATAGTTACAAAAAATGCCAAAACTAACAAATTTATTAGCAGGGCTGTCCCTATAATGAGTCTGACTACCCCCACCCCCCCACTCCCTAATGTTATAGAAAAGAAGAAAGCAAGAGGAGTTCTGTAGTCCTGTCCTAGGGTTTGCAATGTTGCTCCTCTATAGATACATTACATAGAGTATGCGTTGTCAGTTGAGGACACAGAGTGTGTTACTGGTGGTGTCACCAGATGGAAATAAAAGAAAAAAGCCTTAATAAAGAAAAGGAATGCAGCTGCCCTAAGGTCTGGCACTCTATGGGCCATCCCTATAATAAGGCAGCCGGAGGTGGTTGCCTTAGGCAGCATCTCATTGTGTCACGTGGCACTTCTGCCTCCCTTTTTGCAGCCAGAGCGCCCCAGGTTCCTAAGAGCTTTGCAACCCAGACACTGTGGCCAGCATCCCGCCCAGCCCACTGACGTTACTGGTTGCCAGGAGCTGAGCGGGACATTCTGGCTGGCATTCTGCCCAGCTCCTGGCAACCAGTGATGTCAGTGAGCAAGGCAAGATGCCGGACGGAGCCTCTAGACCCAGAGGTAATGAACATCCACCGGCAGAACATCACCAACAAACCACCCCCCCAGGGTAACGAAGCATCCACCACCAAAAATTACCATTCACCAACAGCAATTGTGGCCAATAGTGTAGGAACAGCCCTGTTTATTACACTGATCCTTCAGATTCAAAACTTCCCTTAGAAAATTGAATGTGATTGGCGGTAGCTAAGAAACTTCCCCCCGTGTTTAGGGGCGGGAGGGGGCGTGGTGGTGCATTTAATTCAGTGGCACCGCTTCCACGCCCACCCGCCTGCAGTGCGATCGGACGCGTGGCAAAACTTTGCCAGTGTTTCGTTCCACTGCAAACGCAAAAAAAAGAGCAAGCCCTATTTTTGGCGTTTGCAGTGGATCAGAACGATCCGATTGCACTGCGGGCAGGGGGCGTGGAAGCAGTGCCATTTAATTCACTCCACCGCCATGCCCCCTCCCGCCACAGAACGTGGGGGGGGGGAGTTTTTCTTAGCGATCGCGGTGGGTTCCAGCAGATAATGCTCTGGAACGCACACGCTTTCGGTGTGAACAAGCACTCCATGAAATACAATTCTTCTGCTGCTTCTGCTGATGCTGTTAGGTGTGTACTCTGGGTGCAGGGAAATAAAGACAATGCAGATTAAGGTAAACTATGTGAACTTTCTTATTATAGTGCAGTGTATACTTAAAGCATTCACTTGGGGCTTTATTCATAAAAGTTACACCAGGCGTACAGCATACTAACGTCCCTAGATGTGCTGACAAGCATACGAAATGCCTATACTCGTCACTGGAATCTAGGGGCACTCGTGCCATGCTAAAGGCATCTGCCTGGCTACATACTGGATGGAACTTTTCTATATATACCCTTTAATGTCTGGAATTGCTCTGCAACCTTTTTTCTGCTGCCACAGTGTAAAGGTCTTTAAAGCAGCGCGTACTGACAACCACTTTTATAAGTACACCCACTTCCGAGGCTCGAGAATTTTGGCATTTATTTACTTTATACAGTCTCATCTTTAAAGCTGAACTCCAGTAATAAACATAACAGGATAAAAATGGATAGCCCTATAAAAGATAAAATAGCAAAAGCAGGTATTGCTGTAATATTCAGCTTCTTTTCAGAGATTTTCCCTGGCAGTACTGATGGCCAGCAAACACTTCCGTTGAGCCAAGGTCATCCTGGATTTTCCCCGGTACCAGCTGATGACTGCAGAGTGAAGGGAGAAGCAGCACAGTGATGCATTAATCTCTATGTTTCTCTGCTCTCTGTTCCTATCACCATGCTTCTTGTCTGCAAATGAACTAGTTGGCTCCTTGTACTGCTTCTTCCGCTCACACTGCAGCCCTGCTGTACAGGGATTTCAAGAGGCTGATACCAGGTTAAATTTAGGTACCTATACTGCTTAAATTTTAAAAACATAATTATTGAGGTATTATTGATTACAGGGATTTAATGTGGGACTTTTATATCAGGCTAGAGTTTAGCTTTTATATTACCTCTATTGTGTTTTTTTGTGCACTTAAATTAGAGTATTTTTTTGCTGAAAATATGTATTTGATAAACCGCTGTGCGAATTACATACAGTATAAAAAACTGCAACTGACATCATTTTATTCTATGGGTCCTTTGGAGATATACTGTTTACTGTATATATAAAAAAATTGGTCCAGCAGTAAAAAGGAAAGACAGTGGGCAGAGTAATGCCAATTATTCCTTTACGTGCCAGTGGTCAACTACATGTCCAGAACTGCTGATTTATAGCTTGCATGCTGCCTAAAATATACAGCCATTTATCCAGTCTGAGCTACAGCTACTTTGACATATTAGCCCTCGAGGTTGCATAAGACCATTATCTGAAATGTACATCTCACACAGCAACCTTTTTATAACCTTTGTACAAACACAATGCTTCTCCCGAATACAATAATTTAGTCTGGGTTGTATGAAGGTATGAAGGTGACTAGGTCACTTTATTTAAAGTTAGACTTGCCCTCAGAGCCCTACTGCAAAGGTTGGCAAGGCTATACATTGGTAGATACACTAACCCTAACCCGTCCCAAAGAACAATGGTGTATGTGCCTTGTTTACACTGCAATGCTGCCTTCAGATGGGTTGCAGCACATTGCAGACATGCTGCCTCTGAAGTCACCGCCAATTTGCACACCATCCACACAAAAAAAAGAAAAAAGAAATTGCCCACATGCTTAAACTATTTAGCTCTAATACATCATCAAAAGTAAACTCTGGGCACAAAAAATATTAATTTAAGTATATTCTCTAATAGACACAATGGATATAAATCCACTTTCTGTGCACCAATTTCATTTACAAATCCAGAATTGATCTAATTACTAGTCAACTCGAACATCTCTATTTCGCCCCATTGAATGCCCCGCAATGAGAGAGCCCTGATTGGGTAAAGCAATGCACCTGACAACAGGTAATGATGACTTTGCCCAATCATGGCTCACAGCTATGTTCCAGCCCCACACTATATAAGGCTGCTTACATAGCAGCCTTATGTAGTGTGTTGCTGAAGTTAAAAATAGAATGTAGCTGTCAGTGTAGCTGTCAGTGTAGTGTAGTGCAGTAAAGTGAAAGCTAACTGGTGTCAGTGTAGTGAAGTCTCAGTGCTTTATACAGCATTATTTTCTGTGCTGAACATTCTCTGTCTTTTTTTGTGTGTGTCAGTGGCGTCACTGGCGTTTCTCCTGCGTCACCGGTGTTCCCATTTTTTTTCTTTTTTAATTCTCTTTTATTATTTTTACTTTTTTTTTTCAGCAGCAGGTTCTTTTGCAGCCTAATTGCTGTTCCCCCTTCCGTGTCACAGGTGTTCCCATTTTTTTTAATTTTTTAATGTTTTGCTTTTTCTTTACTCATTTTTTTAAAATAATAAGCCATTTTACAACAGTTTATAGTGCACCAAGCACCACATTTGATAAAGTATTGCACCCAAGCACCAATTTCCCATCCCACATTCTCTATCTCGCTTCATGTCTGAACGGCCAACAAGGAGACAGGTATATATAATTTGAATTGTTAGACCAGGGTCCAATCCTGCACTTGTCAAGAATAACTGAAGGGTTATGGTGTGAAAGCACTGCCAAGGCCCAATTTTAAAGCACCGGTTGTAACTTTCATCCAACGTCTGCAAAAGAGACACCAGAATTGATCCAAAAAATCTCTAACCTTGTTCCGAGTGTCCTAAAATGTGGCCTCTTCATACAGGCTGCCTCCTCAACCAGTTGTTTACAAGATTAAGGGAAGTCCAATTACCGGCAATTTAAATGTCATTTTTTTCTTTATAAATGTCACTTTTTGCTGCAGCAGGTTTTATACACTTTACAGGGAGTTTAAGGGGACCCCCCAGGCACGATATTTAAAGGAATTTTTCATTCTTATTGTTTCACCTTAAGCAATGCTAAAATCACTTCTCCTTTAAAAACTGTATTTTTTTTTTAAGTGTTTTTTTAGACATGTGCACTGGCAAAAAAATTCATTTTTGGGAAAGTCCATTCATTTCGGGATTCGGATTCGGAAAATTTCAGATGAAAAGCGGTGGTCTGTACGAATTTTCGTATGTGGACGAATATTCGTTGCAGCAAAGTGACATTAGAGGGAAAATTTGTATTTTTTTTAACAGTTTTAGAAAATAATAGCGGCTGCAGTTTTAAATGGAAGAGTAATTTTCAATAACTTTAAATTACAAAATGGCTTTTGCAGCAATTATATATGCTTTATTCATTTTCTAATGCTTTTTTCATCTTTATTTACCCTTTATCCTGTTTCCCTGGAGGTCAGCTTTAAGCATTTTGTTACATTTTTACCTCTGATATGACACCATTGTATTCTACTTATCTCTGCATTTTCCCAGAAAAACAACTTACGTGACGTTTGACATCATCCATACTTAATGTCACCCCTTTATCGTTGTTGTTGCGTTTCGAGTCTTTCCCACATTTTGCACCCCCGCACAGTTTGTATCTTAACACCTAGAGAGAAAAACATCGGCGTAAATACTTGTATTGCCATAGGAACAATGCACAAGGCTGAATCTAAAGGACTGCTAGAGGTTCAGAGAGCTCAGCAGTCTTACCTCATAGGCATAGTCGAAGAGCTCGAGAACAGTGAGGATGCTCGCTCCAATAAACAGGCCCATCTGTCCCCCGATGTCCCCTATAGGAAGAAATCAAAGCACCGATAAGACGAGAGAACAGGCTGGCTGCTTCGGGGGAGATAATGCTGCAATCCTGTCACAAGCATCACCAAGAAAAAAAAAATATCTGTGGCTATGAGGAGAATATTAAAGCACGAGGCACGGAACACAAAGGGATAAAAAAAATCGAAATGTCAGAAATTGAAATGAGTGTCCAGTGCTGGGGCGAGAGCAATTAACATTTCAGTGAAAATCTCCAGGGGATGCGGAATAGTGAGTACAGTAGACGCCAGTAGGCACAGCATGCAGGTGCCATATATTTGCAATAAAACATTACAGGATTGAAGTCAGCCCGAAACTGCACAGGTAGCGTGAAACTACAGCTCCAAAAATGTTGTTCTTTCAGTAGTGCTTTAAATAAACATATATATGTAAACTTAATCACTAAAATCTCAATCTTTAATAGGTTGATGTCATTTCATTTATAGCTGAACTCTGGGCACAAAAGCTTTCATTTCAATAATTTTCTTCATAGTCAAAAAGTATATAAGTTCACTTTGGGTGAACCAAATGCCACTACAAACCCAAGCATAATCACTGTGCTGTACTGACAACACAGCTGTGAGAGGGACCCAGCAGGTCCCAGAAGGGTTCAGATACAAGACCAGTCACCCTGCAGAAGGAGAGGGAGCAGCAGTGACCGGTCTTTATTACCGGAAGCTCCTGCACAGAGACAAAGTTTCACATTGAATTACTGCTCAGATCTGGAATACACAAAGTGCACCAAGTTTCCAGTAAGAATACACATGCCTCTTGTATTTAGACAATATTTGCTTATCCCGGAGTTCAGCTTTAAAAAATACCTACTGATCCTTCTAATAAGGTCCTTCTTTGGGTAATTCACATAATAGGGGGAGAACAGGGGTGTAACTACAAACCATAGGGCTCCATAGCAAAACTTTGGGCCCCCTTAGCTAACTCTCTCGGCTAGCAGTGTCAGCTGTAACAATACGTGTCATTGATCTTAACATGAAGTATGTATGTTCTTGCACACACTTACTCTTCAACCCTAATACAAACCTCTTTAAACTCTAGCTTCATTAAACTTTTTTTTGTAGAACTACAAGCCTCATGCCTCCTATAAGGTTATAACAGAGAGGAAACTCTGTGATCTGTGACTGCATTAGACATACAGGGATAATTTCAGTCTTTAACAGAAGTTCAAAGGACAATAAGTCTGCACTGCTAAGATAGATCAGCAATTGCTTCTTGTTACACCGAGGGGGGTCTGTGACTAGACATCCTGAGGTCTGACTTCAGCCCTTCTATACTAGAAACCAGTTTCCTCTTACCCCAAGCCCCGTAGCAGTCGCATGGGCTGCTATGCCTATTGTTACTCCACTGTGTGAGAACGTTTGATTCCTGTCTACCAATTGTGCTCCTGCACTGTTACCCTGTTACAGGAGCTTCCGATGGAGACTACAATGTCTGTTTAAACACATTACACAGGCATGGTTAATTGTTGTCACCATTAGGAAACCTGCCCTGAAAAATGCCATGAAGCCATTGCTAGAGTCCATGTGGCTAGTACAGAAAGAATTTGCAGTGGATCACCGCCACCACAATCTAACATAAAAGTTAAAAACAATATTTTATGGAAAAATGCCAGTTATTTATTATTCTCAGTGATTTAGCAAATGTCATGCAATTAAGGTTTATATCTTCTTTAAGTGCAAATAGAGATTTGTTTGCTACAGAAAGCTAGAGGTGTTAGAAACATCCAGGAATGGCTGACATTTATAAAATAAGCATGAGATGACAATCTGCATATATTCTGTCCATGGTCGGTTCTATACACATGATAGTGATATGCAGAGGGACGTGACTGGAAGCTGAACATGAGCAGGGACAAAAGAAAAATGACTCCAACAGGCAGTATACATGATGAGCTATACATTCTCCATATCAGCATGGATTCCTACAGCTGGATGCATCTCTATAGGCGTGACTGTTAATGAACTATAAATAATGCATGCCCAGGGCTGACCCTACACTAGTTGCCACCTGAGGAGGCAGGGAGGGGGTGGAGGGGGATTGTGCTATCAGCTGGGGGGGGGGGTAATATGCTTTCCGGCCTCC